AGGCCCGGCACGGGCCCGCTGCTGGGGCGCCCGCCCAGCCAGGAGCAGCGCGGCAGTGGGAACCAAGTGAAGAGTCTCTGAAGGAGTTCCAACTCCTTCAGAGCTCCTTCAGAGCTCCTATTCCTAACAGCCCTGGCCTAAAAATACACTTCAGTAGTTGCTGAAACATAGCAATATTAGTAGTTAGAATATTATTTTTGTCCTTATAGAAGTGTGATAGTATACAGCTTTTTTTTTTTTTTTCTTTCATTAATAATCATTAGGGAGCTTTGGTTTTTTAGAATCATTACGGAATATCACAGATATGCTTCCAAAGGTTTTCAGCTGTGGGTGGGTATGAGAAGTTTAAGAGTACGCAGAACACAAGCAGGCAGTGTTTAAAGATGCTTAAGTATGCTCTCATTAAGTTGAACCTAAATAATATGGTTTTAATCAGAAGAGGTCTGCGTAAAATAAAACCCAGGCGTCTCACAGGTTTTGATTAGAGTAGAGCATTTCTTGTGGCAGCAATGTTTTCAAAGCCATTGAATAATTCAAAACCAAGCATTTACTTTAGTTTCTTCAGTGCTCTGTCCTCATTTTTTTTCTCCCTTTCTTCTGTTACAGTGGAACGTATCACTCCAGAGATGAAAGCACAGATAGTGGACTCAGCATTAGCAGTTATAGTGTACCCAGAACCCCCGATGACTTCCTGAACAGTGTTGATGAGATGGATACAGGTCTGGTTTTATGTGCATCCTTAATGCATGTTTTCCAAATATACTTGTGCCCATTTGCAATGAAGACAAGCAGCTCTGAGAAGCTTGGATACTTTTTGCATTATTTTTCCACTTTCTTCTATTTCTGTAATAGAAATATAGTTAGATTTGTGAAAAGCATATTTGTAATCAACTCTGTTGGGAGGATGGAGGATTGCTCATAAATACTCCAGCATTACTCCTGTTGTTATGGGGAGTTTGGGCATCCATTTGCTTTTTTAAGTAATGCTGTTTGTTCAGAGGTACAAATGGTACCTTGTACAGTGTTGCTAATACTGCTCCAAAACAGTATTGGACTCAGTGTTGTCTTTCTCCTATAAGCATAAAAAGTAATATATGCTAAATGACATCAGAGATCTGTAGAGATTTGGGTCAGTAGGTGAAAAGGTTGAAAGAAAGGCATGTTCTTTGTACATCTGCATGCAGTGAAATGGTCTTTGTTTTTTTGTGATGGATCTTTATGAATCATGTTGCTTGTATGGTGCAAGAGATACAGGATTAACTTTTAACCGGTTGTCCTGATAAATTGTGGCTTTGGTTCTTCCAGTGTATTTAATATCCACCTTGCTTTCTGTTATAACTAGGTGACAGTATCAGCCAAAGTAACATAGCATCCCATCAGAACCGTTTCCCAGACTACCTTGAAGCCATTCCAGGGACAAATGTGGACCTTGGGACACTGGAAGGAGATGGGATGAATATAGAAGGAGAAGAACTGATGCCAAGTCTGCAAGAGGCTTTGAGCTCTGACATCCTTAATGACATGGAATCTGTCTTGGCAGCCACCAAGCTAGATAAAGAGAGCTTTCTTACTTGGTTATAGGGGCCTCAGGGAGACTGAATTCTAAATCTGTGAAGGATCTAAGGAGATTAGGACATCTGTATCTGAAGCTCAGAACAAGCCCGTGTGGCACACTTTGGCTTGTGTTCAGAAACCGTAAATGAACAAATACTCAGCAAGATTCTTTTGTTTTGCTCTTCCTTGTCCATCGCTGCTGTTATATATTGCTGACTTTTTTCCACAGTTGACTCTGAAGAACAGACATCTTGATCTTTTTCTATTGCTGTTGCAACTACTGTTGGAGGGGGGTGGGGAGGGATGATGAGCCTATTTGGATGACGAATGCCATTCCTTTTGTCCTAGTGTGCGCTTGCATATCACTTTATCTAAGTACTCAGATTTGAGAGTTAATTTCTGCATGTCACTGCATGTAGTTTGCTCAGCTAGTTGTCTCCTGCTGTCTGTGGCAAGTGGTAAAAAAACGTGACATACTGGGGTGACAAGCCAAAAATGATGTATCTGGTCAAAATAAGTCAATACTGATTTGGAGATATAACTTAATGGAGGGCTGAAGACTGTTTTGGCATTAAGTGTTTCTACTAGTAGCTCCTTCATTAGTCACAAAGTGCTCTTGTTCATATTTTATGTTATAGTAAATCATGAGTCATTTTACATAGAAACATATATGAACTTTTGATTGTTGCCACATATTCTAGCCTAACTTTTGTTTGTCAAAAATAGTTTGATTATTTTTGTTAGTTGGTTTAACTGTAGCTGTAGGATGGGAAGTAATTGTAGGTGTTCTTTTTTTAAAAAATAGTGAGATCCAAGTTTTTTTTCTGATTTCACATAGTCTTATTTAAATCTGAATTGTCTGCTTTTTTATACTTAAAAACATGCCTATTATAACCTGATAAGCTAGTGAGTGCATAAACCAGTATGTTTTGCCTGTAACTCTTTTATTTTTTCTGAAGGCTAGCTTTGAATGTAATCATTAGAATTCATGACCAGTGGCTTATTTTTCATGTTTAGTTACAAGATTTTGAATTAGAACCTGATTGCAGCAATATAAGAGTTAGAATCCTAAGTCTCATATGTACAATTTTAAAATGCATTTTAAAGTAGCAGAAACCATTTTAAAATGACAGATGCATCTAATCTCTCTTCTGATTTTCAGTTTTGATATCTGGGCAAGTTTAGGTTTTAAAATTTTTAATGAGAAAAAAAAAAAAAACAAACAACTTTCTGGAAAGTTTTTCTTGTTAACATGGAAGAAGTCTCAACTATTCGTATCTCTCTTGAGTTGCAATGAAAAGGCTAGAACACCAAAAATAAAAAAATAAATCACAAGAAAAACTCCTAAGTGTAATATTTATCAAATTCTGTTTGGTGAAAAATAAGCCCTGGACAGTATATGTAGAAGAATGTAAAGATATGTGTTAGATGGTGACATGAGCAGGTAATGAAGTGTATATTAGTAGTAGAGCTTAGCATGGGGTAGAGGTGAATATGAATTATCTTTATTTTAACAGGAAAAGATGTATCACTAAGTCGTCTGCAGGAGTTGACACAGATTCCAAAGAGTATTTTTAAATGAACAAAATGAGCATGAATCGTACTTCCAGTATAAGCTATGAAGTTTTGTGGGGCTTTGGGGTTTTTCTGATGAAAAATAGTGTCACCAGTTAACACCTCTATAATTAAGGGCCCGTCATCATTCTCAACATGAGCCTTTATTTTCAAGGGTGTATAACATGACTATAAAGATACTGTAAGCGTGAAACTTGGTTGTGAAAAAAAAAATCTCAGCTAGCAGAGACTTCTCCTGGGGAGAGATTTTTTTGGGGGTATTTTGTTTTGTGGGTTTTTTTTTTTAAAGATGTGGATTATTTTTCAAGTTAGAAATTAACCAGCAAAACAAAGAAGGAAAAAAAAAAACATATTATTATTATAATTTTGATTTTTTTTTTTAATGCTTCAGAAATAGTTCAGTTTTAGGGTAGTGTAAAGAATGAAAACTCTGAACTAAGTCTCATTTTAAAAACTGAAGCAGCAGAGGCAGAGATTTGAAATCTGCTACCCTAAATGTACATTTATTACTTTACGTAAGGATATTAGCGTTTGAAATACACAAAATTGTTTGTGGCTTGTTGTCATATACAGGCAAATTTTAAAATGGCAATTTTCCAAATGCATCCACAATGACCAATATATTCTGCTACACCAATAATTCAGCGATTAATAGGCCACTTATATTGTGCAATGACACGGTAGCTCCTGAAGCAGTATATTGTGTCCTAGGTAGGGATTTTAGTAGCATTTTTACAGTTTCAGTAGGAATTCTTCTCTCATCTTCCCTTCAGGGGAAAAAGACACTAAGTTCTTATAACTTGAATGGTCTGACATAAAACCACACCAGCAAGGAAATTCAGAGTTGATTCCACTTCAGTTGTCTTCCACAGTTGTATCCAGGTGTAACAGCACATGCCGTGTGCGCCGAGTGCGGCCTCCTGGCGTGCTGTGCCTTGCTGCAACAGACATGAGTACAGAACAAATTTTCTTTCCTTGCTTTGGTGTGTTTGTCACAGCTTTAATATTTGAATGTTTCCTCCTCATTGTAGAAACACTAAATGGCTTATACTGTATTGGGGTAGCACTGCTTAGGGTAGATACTGACAAACTGGGAATCCTTGAACTGCTCTAACATTTATTATGTTTTGAGATACTTATTTTAATTGATTTTAATACATTTCTGTTCTCTCATTTATTAGGAAACATACCATAGAAATGCTGTATTGTTGGCAATCAACATTAATTTGGAATTTTTTTTTTTTAATTCTGCAAATGCATTGCTTGATGAAGTGGTTAAAATTGTTTGAAATGCAAAAGTGTTTTGGATAGTATTTTATACTGATGTATATATTGAAACAGAAATCATTGTAATAATTGTAATAGCTTTTAGTTATAAATACACTACCTGCAGACAGATGGGGCTGTACAGTACTGTGCTGTTCCAACACCTGGGCAGGGCTACTGCTTGGAAACAGGTTGCAGTGTCAGTAAACGACATGGATCAAACATTGTACCATTCAGTGTTGGCGCTCACCAATGCAAAAGGAGGAGAGACGATTTCAACGTGATTAACACTACATAGCTTTCACACGTCTGGTAAATTAGTACTAAAGTGACCTTTTCACTTACAAGCATGTTTTTATACAAATTAACAGGTGTGCCTGTGTAAAATAATTAGTTTTCTGTATCTTGGAAAAAATACTCTCCACATTTAGAATGTCATATGTTAGAGAATTCTTAAATGCACCCTTGTCAAAAATTATATATATTAGTTACCAATGTTACTTTTAGATACGAGCATGACTGTAAGTTAGGTACTTAAGTACGTTCTGTTACATTATTTTTCTTTATGTAATACTTTTTCAGTTGTTTTATTTGGTATAAATATATACTTTGTGCTTAAACATCTTTGCTTGTTTTTAACATCCGGTAGTATGTAAAGATACGGATTTCCTCCAGTAAGAAGGATGCACTGAACTGTTGGAATTCCTATTGCAGTATGTCTGTTCTCGTCCCCCTTGTCATGGAACTTTTATAGTCATGGAACTCCAGTCCTGAGACATTTTGTTCAAGCTCACCTAAGAGACAGAGGAGCCCCACCAAAGTCAGTGAAGACTTAACATTAGTGTTGGCATCTCTGTGTGTTTGCAGTTATGAGGGGGCAGTGATGCTACTGAGCCTCATACAGCTTGGGTACAACAGTAATGTTAATTGTGGATGGCACTATGGTGAGAGCTGGTAACAGAACTTCTGTTATCTGCTGTAGAAAGCATCCACTTCTTGCAGATACACCTACAATGTTCAGGATCTTCCCACGCAGCAGTTACATTTTTTTGCCAACTCTATACAATAATTTGTGGCAGACTATCAATAAAGACACACTATTTTCATTTCTAAGTTTTGACTTATGAATTGTGAAACATATAATGACATACCTTGAAAGTGTGTGAAGATTTTAGTTTAAAGCATTTGACAGCATTCAATAATTTTGACCTTCTAGGAAAACAGAAATTCTGAAAGGGTTTTTTTTAACGTAATGTAGTTTGCGATGGCTGGTCGTACACTTTGCATTTGAGCCGTTCTGGAGTTACTACTACTGAGTACTGAAATGCACTGAGAAGTTCAGTGCAGTTGTGTGCTTCCCTAGTTAAAGGTCCAGGGCTTGATGCTTTTATCAGTTTGTCTTTAATTCTGGAGTTCATAGCTAGCTTTAGTCACTCAGATCCTTTAAGTCTAACATCGCACCTTGCACCTGGGAGTAGAAAGCCAGTGCCAGGCTGTGAGAAGGCACCAATTTTATTTGCTGATATCACTCTCTCTCATTTATAAGGTGGTGACATGTTGCAGTAGTTGAAGTGTGAGTGACCTTCTGAGGCAGCCCTAAATAGACTTGTGTTGCAGCAAGGCAGGGTATTGGTCCAGGTGTTGCAGGCTTGCTTGGCAATTCTTTCTGAAATACTTTCAACACTTGTTTAAAAATAACAAGCATTGGTTTCTGTAAGACAGAAATGGTATGCTTCCAGGGAAGCTTTGAGTCTTCCCTATGCTAGTGTGCAAGTTACTGGCAAGAAAAGCATTTTTCACCTGGGATCATTAACAAAACAATTATTTGAGGTGAGGCTACAATGTGTCTAGCACCTCTTGTTCTGGAGGCTCCTTCTGTTTATGGTATCGGCATCCATAGCTTCTTTGTTCCTGTTGAAGAGTAAAGGTGTACTTCTTGTCCCTTGATGTTACCACTCATTATTGCTAACGAGTTATCTGCACCCTCTAAATTTAGATGTCATCAAAACAGGAAGAAATCTGTACAGCATGAGGAATCTTGGTTGACATTAAATGGTAAAACCAACACTAATTGAAAAACAAATTCTCTTTAGAATATAGGGTAGAGCTTTGTACCAACTACTATATCCAGTACTTCATGTCTCACACAAAAAAGCCAGTATGTTTTTCTCTAAAGAAAAAAGATTGGGGAAGCACCTTCAGTAGGAAACATACAAATACCAGTACATCTGACAAAGCTGCCTAATGTGTTTTGTGGAAAAATCATGATTTTTACTTTTCCTGACATACTGCACTCTTTAATGCAGAGTTTGTAGCAGTGAATGGCACAGATGCAACTGACTAGTACTGACTTTCTCAATATGGGCTTGAAGTTGGTCACTCTGATTATAGTGTTTTCTGTATTAAACTGGCTTGTATTAGAACATGAAAAGCAAAGGAATTTTATTGGATTTTCCTGTCTTTATATTAGCAGGGTGGGCAGGGGGAGGGAAGGGAGCAGGTTGTCAGGAGCAGCCCAGGAGACTTTTTCTTCAATGCTATGCAACAACAAACTAGAGCTCCCACGTGGTATGTTCGATCTCCGCTGGAATGCCCTTTCTCCTTCTCCCGCCTATGTTATTTCTGAGCTACTCTAGCCTGTTTTAAACTATTTATCATCTGTGAGTTTTGCTTGCCTAACACCTCTAAAGACTGGGACTGTAGCACTAGGGGCTGTTCATCCCCAAAGGAGAGCAGAGTTCCTCCTCTCCAGAGTTCAGCTGTCAGCCTGTTTAAAGTCTGTAAGATAATGCAGAAATCACTGTCTGACTCCCAACATGCTGCCCAACTCCTATGACAGGATGGGTATTGGCAAGCATGAGTTTTCTGAACTACAGGGGATTCCTGTTGTGCTTTGACTTCCCCAAGACTAGAAGAGTTCATCTTTTCCATTTCGTTACCTTGATTTCTGCAGCCAGCTGTCCTAGCAGGGGCTTGGTGTCCTCCCCACGCCAGTGCCACCATGCCTGCTGGACGGTTCCTAACCAGTGCTTCAACTCAATGGTCAACAGTGATATTTTTAAAAGCTGACAGTTTTATTCAGTATTTCACTCATAGTTTCATTGTTAGGCATGCAAATACAATGGTCTTAGCTCTCTGACTGATAAGTGACCCTTTTCAGACTTGTGAAGCGATACAGATCTCTCATACCCATCATCCG